TAATAAACCAATAGTTTTGCGACCCCCATGCAGTACCTCTGTGGAACCCCTAGGGGTCGCAGACCCCCTGTTGAAGATCTCTGGTGTAGAGAATTATTAAACAAATGAGTTTTTCCATCACATCATCCTTTTCATACATGTTGTCCTCCTCCAAGCTGTAGAGGCTTGAAAAGAAACTACCAATGAAGTAAATCAGGTGGTGTGCATCTCTGTAATGAGAAGGGGCGTGGCCTAATGACATCATGCTTAATTATTAGGCAACTTCCTTTCCTTTGGCGAAATGGGTCAGAAAAGAGATTTGACACTGAAAAGTCCACAATGGTCAGATGTCTTTCAGAGGGGGGGGGCAGCAGTTTGGAAATAATGAAGCTTTTGAAGAGGGATCATCAAACAATCAAGCGGTTCTTGGCAAATAGCCAACAGGGGAGCAAGAAGCGTGTTGATAAACGAAGACGCTAAATAAAAAGAATTGAGAAGGATGAAGCGTGAAGCTGCCAGGAAGCCATCAGCCACCAGTTGTTCCATATTTCAGAGCTGCAACATGTCTGGAGCGCCGAGAAGCACAAGGTGCTCGATCCTCAGGGACCTGGCCAAGGTAAGGAATGCTGAACAAAGGCCACCTTTGAACAAGACGCACGAGACAAAACGTCAAGATTGGACCAAGAAATCTCTGCAGACTGATTCCTCCAAGGTGTTTGGGTCTGATGAAATGAGCGAGAGTCTAGATGGGTCAGATGGATGGTTGATGATGGAGTCCAGATCAACTCCCAGACCTACTGCCAGTTTCTGGAAGACTCCTTCTTCAAACAGCGGAAAAAGAAGAAGTCGCCATCATTCCAGAAACACCTGATATTCCTGCAGGACGACGCTCCGTCACACGCATCAGAATACGCCACAGCGTGGCGGCCAGAAACACCTGATATTCCTGCAGGACGACGCTCCGTCACACGCATCAGAATACGCCACAGCGTGGCGGCCAGGAAAAGGCTAAAAGGGTCACCTGATCTGAACCCCATGGAGAACCTGTGGTCCTTCATGAAAGGTGAGATCTACCTCATTAAATGGCCAAATCTAAAAATAAAACTCATCAACTTCTAAATATATGAAACTTTGATATTAAGGAGTCTTTGGGGTTGATTGAGAACACATGTGGCCCAATAATAAAAATAATCCTCAAAAATATAACTTGCCTAATAATTCTGCACATGGTGTAGATTGTCGTCTCAGGAAAATGGAATATCTTCTGGACTTACAACCTTAATCTCAGTGTTTAGAGAGAGCCCTCCATGTGTTACTCCTGCATAAGAGTCTTATGTTCTCAAATGTGTTGGGATCTGGAGGTCTGTCCACCTTTCTCCAGCAGAGGGCGCCCTAGGTCTCCTGGAGCTGAAGCTGACTACCACACCTGCGGCTCGTTTGCTCATCAGGAGACCAGCAATTAAGCAGTGGCAGAGCAACACTCCAGTGCCAGAGTGTTAAGCCAGTTACGGTTAGCAAGCCTGAGCC